ATCTAGTCGGGCGAGAAGATGGGTTCTTTGACTCCAGGGTTTTAACTGCACCATCGAGCACCGCTGAGGAAAGGTCAATAGTCCTGCCGATGCGCTGAGCCGATTGCCAGTGGTGACCGCCGGTTCATCCTCCCAGTGTGTCGCCGAAGACTGGTTTCCTATCGACGCAGAAGAACCGGAGCAGTCGATCCCTTTCGAAGAGACTGCAGTTACAGAAGAGGATGACATCTCCCAACTAAGTGACGGCACCAGATTGGTTGCAGAGCAAATGCAAGACCCACTTGAGCAATATACTCTTGTGCCTGAAAAGGACCAGGCGGATTTTTTCGGTCGCTCACCAGTCACCTAGCTGTGTTTGGAGATTTATGTTTGTCCTTTGTCCCTCTTGTTCCCCTTCTCCAGGGATTACTTTCGTCATTCTTGTCCAGCTCGCTTGCGCCTTTGCATTTAATTGCATTATAATTATAACCTTAAATTGCAAGCTTCACCCTTGTTGGTGTTCGACTGGTGGCAGCTGATAAAACCCGTTTGCTCTACTGACGTCTAACCCCTGGTTAGCTCAGTTGGTAGAGCGCTCCACTTGTAATGGAGAGGTCCCGGGTTCGATACCCGGACCAGGCGGATATTTACGGTCGCTCACCAGTCACCTAACTGTCTTTGGAGATTTATGTTTGTCCTTTGTCCCTCTTGTTCCCCTTCTCCAGGGATTACTTTCGTCAGATAGAGCTACGCTTTACAGTTTCAAGAAGAAGTTAAGAGAAATAGAATGCATCTTCCATCCGAATGATTACCTTCTGTACCTTCAAGTGAAATTTCGTCAAAAATGTATTCTCCCCATGAAACGAAAGAAAACGAAAGTTCTGTACTCTATATTCTCATTGCTTCGTGCAACCATACCAACACTCCCTAAATTCTTCCACTAAAATATTGGAGAAATCGACGCCTGAACAAAAAAAAATAAAATTCTGTCCTTTTTTTTTTTTTAAGGGGGGGGGGGGGGGGGAGGGGTTGTCTTACGCAATGAAAATGCAGATTCACAGCTTTCTCTGGTGTCTATAGGTTTCTTAAGCGTAACCCAATGTGTTTATATTGTAGCTATTTATTTTCTTTCGTAGCCCGAGTCAGGCTACTTCTTCTGTTCTAATTTTGCGGCTCGGCCACAATAACGTAAGATCTCTAAATGCCACAGAGATTTTAAGGCATTTTAAATGAGGATAAACGAGGGCTCTCTTAAGCGCATATTCACCACACATTATCCAGGCAAAATCGCGAACACTAGCGTCACCATTATATACAGGCGAATTGATTATTTCATACCCTTGCAGTTATGCAATGCTTGGTAATAACGTCGATATTCGCCGATAGAAAGCAAGACTCACAAGAATGATCTTGTTTGACAATGTTTTCAAACGTCGCTTTATAAGTTCAAAAGCGCAGCTCTTTCTTCCATCGTCACATTCAAGGAAATGCGAGTGTATCACTCGTTTCACAATGCGAGCGGCAATGCTAAGCGAGGTTTGATATGTTTTTGTTGTTGTTTTCGTAAAGGGAAGACGCATTAAAGAGATGCTGAACCGGATTTCGGAGCTAACAATAAAAAGCTGGAACAATAGACGGGACGCTGCAAAACCTGCAAAACGTCACTCATGCAGGGATATCTCTAACGGTGGCCGTATTTTTTGGAAACGAAGCGCGCGATTCAATACGACCGACGAGGCCGACGAGACATGTTACGTCAGGATTTTATCCCCTCGCCTCCCCGCTTCGTCTCCTCGAGCTTGTGAACCAAAGCGAAGACGAGAGAAGCGAGGCAGCTTCTCCTTATTCTCAGCTGTTCTCGGCGGATCCTGCACGTTATAGTCACACTTGATCGCGCCCTTCTTTTCCAAAAGTACGGCAATCCGTTTGAGATATCAATGTGTACGGGATATTTTTGACATCTTGGTTTAAAACAGCGTGAGAAAATAATTACAAAGTAAAGACGACACAGATAACAGCGCTCTCTATAAACTAAAAGTTTATTTCCACCGCTCCCTGTAAATATATACACATGGTCAACAGCCCAATAAACAATATCCGTAAAAACTCCATACAGTCTCAACATCTTCTCAGTTATATTAGAGTGCTGTGTCATAATCGATCCCTAGCATGCACCAGTCAGAATAAAAAAATTCTCTATCAGAAAGACCAACGGAGGCTGTGCTGACACATTCTTTTGTTTGTCCTTGTCTCACAAACACAGCTGTACAGGGCCTTTTCTTGCCGATCGCTGCAGACTACACGCTGAACTCGTCTGAGATTCCTGACCTAGAGTTCGACACTGCCCAAGCTCATTGGATTAAGAAAAAACGTACATTGTGTAGCAATAACACCTGTTTCCGATGGTCAAGATGTCCTCTCCTTGTCACTCACATGGAAGAGAAAGGGGTTTGTCGTTTCTTTGGTCCGTTGAAGCTAGTGGTCACATGTATACCACCAAGAAAGAAATATCAACGGTGTGTAGACTCTGTCGACAGAACATCTATGGTCCTGAAAATCCACATGTTAAATATCGCACTTGGCATTTATACGAAATGCGCTGCAGGTGATCAATACTCTAGAACCAGTTCTTGCCGGTTCCAGTAGGAGTGGCCTGGATGGCGGAGATGCCGAGCCGCTCCTCCCGATAGAAACAATCCGATCAGCACTAACATATACTCAAACAACTAAAAAAACTGTCTCCACAGTGTCCTGAGATGTGCAAGTTGATCGTGTCATTACTTTTTCTGGTAAAAAAAAAAAGAGCTCTTTCTGTCAAAAAATTTTATGAATTGTGAAGCGCATCTCCCCGTTTGCAGTTCGCGGCTGCGGGACAGTCCCCCCCACAGTCTCCCTGCCTTGTCATGTGGTCTTGTTTCACGCGGCCCCACTTTCTGTGTGTGTGTGTGTGTTTCGCGGGCTGGACTCCGTAACCCCTAAGCTGAGTGTGTGCTGCAAGCTAAGGTGCTCGGTGAGCCAATCGTACGTCTATCTTTAATCACGTGACCACGCTCCCTTCCGTAACCTCGCGGAGAGAGCGCGGGAGGTGATGAAAAGGAGGCGATTTACTGGTCCGGCGGGCGCGTTGCGCGCCCGGCACTGACAGCTTAGGAATGAACGGAGACCTCCTCCCTCAAGGACGCCGAGTTTAATCTCGGTCTTAGTCAGCAATATCGAGCTAGTGCATATTTTATTACAGAATGGCTTCCCCAACAGAAAATCCCAATGCGTGTCCTTCGTTAACTGCGACTCCTCTCATTCAGTACTGTCTCTATATTTATTATTTTACTGTCGTATAGAACAACGTGATGGTGAAGGGTTTTTACAGTTTTTTTTTCCTCGTTGAGTCTATGGTTCAAGTTCAGTTTCGCCAAATCAAGACACGCTTCCCCAATTTCCTGAAAGAGCCAATTCATCAAGAAAAAAATTAGGCTTCAATCAAAGTACCTAAAACGCAGAAATCAACTGAATACAATCTTTAACACTCGCAGTGCCTGTCATTCTTTTCTTTTCTTCGTTCGCTCTTTTATATCTGTTTATCCTCATTATGTACAACGTTCAGTCACTGGTCCTATTCGATATTTTAGTTCGGTTTGACGATCCTTTAACATTTTTAAACAAGATTGTTTTGGGATACTGTAAACTTTGTGCTCCGCACGCCATTTGTTAAATGGTAATTTCTTATAAAGCTTGAAGTGACAGATGAAAAAATACCTCTCTTGACCATTTTGATAAATCCGTGTAGAGTCTGTCGTTCGTGCTTTAAGTGTGTGTCATGATCTGTTATGCTTACAGATGAACACACGTGTTTATTGCAATAAAAACGCAGAAGCGCCTTTATCGGGTGTCTCGTATGAGTTTAGGTATCGCTTGAAATGCTGACAGGCTCCATTATTCTTTCAAAATTTCCTTTTCAAGAGCGGCCTTCGTCTTGAGTTCTTGTCTCCTAACCTTTCCGTTATCAAATTTGGGAAGGCATTTCATAAAAACAACTCTTGAAAAACAGCTTGAAGACTGCTGCTTGTTCTGCAAACAAGAAGCCAGAAAACGCAAATCAATCTCTCACAGGCTTTACTCTGTGCGTCTCGATATTTATTATGAATATTAAATACACTGAAGTGTACGGATCTATATTCTTGAAGCTTTGTGGCTTTGAGAAAAGGCATGGTAGAAAGAGAACAAATGGAATCTGATGTGCTCTAGTAGTAAGTTGATTGTGGCCATTGAGAGGTTGAGAAAGCCAGGGAATCTCTTGAGCTTGACCGGACCCTAGCACGCGCTCATTTCTTTTAGTCGTGCTTTGGCTTCGCATGCACACTCGAGGTTCGCGAGACGCTGAGGCGTTATCAAGGCTAGAAAGCTTGCATCAGACGCGAGACAACTAAGGGACATCCGTGCTGTTCTAATTCTGTCAGTGACTAAAATGTTATTTTAACTTTAATTTTCAAATCAAAGTTAGTTTAATTTAACCAAGTGCCACAGAACAGAAGTTAACATCGTCAAGGCTATGCATAATAACACTGCATTTGTCACAATGTTTCTTATGCAAGCCTTCGTAAACATCGAATTAATTTTAAAAAGTTGCCTCTACACAAACATTTGCTCTGACGTATACAGCACGCCTTATTATATGAACCATAAACACGGCACGATCAATCTTTCCTGGTCACGGCAGGTATTAAGAAACTTTTTTTTTTATAAACGAGGTGAACATTTAGAAAAATCGTATCAGCGTAAAATATGTTCTGGATATAATCCCCCACATTGTGTAGGAGCGTTATTTCCCTGCGTTTTAATTACAATGCGTGTTTTTTTTTTGTATTTCTAGTTTTTAGCGTGACATCGTATACACCGAGAAAAACATTCGTGCTTCAGTTCATATTTCACGAAATAAAGTGGCTCATAAGCGGTGTTTTTTACTAAACAAAATTTATACATTAAACTTGCCACTTACACTTCTAAATGCAAAAGGTAGGACATGCTCACAACATACCAATGGATGAAATATGAATATTGTCAAGATGACATATACCTGCAATGAGCTCCTTCAATTCCGACGCCAGGCTCTTGAGGTTTCCCTTGAAGCAATCTTTAAGAACGACACAAGCTGTTGGAGCCTCGCCATACTTTGGATTTGGAACACCCACAACTGTGACTTCGGCGACAGCCTCATGGGTCAATAAGATTTCTTCGAGCTCAGCAGGGGCGACCACATTATCCATGCATTTGATCATTTCTTTCATTCTATCGATGACATGGATCCGTCCTTGAGTGTCGTAGTAGCCAAAATCTCCTGAAAAATCAAAATCTCATCTTCACGAGTTGTGATGGCCATATATTTTTGTTTTAAGGTCAAAGTTCTAAGCGATTCGGTCTATTCAAGGTGCGTACCGATTTCTAACACACGTTATAAGTGTGGGCGAAAAGATGCCTGTAGTTCGGAAATTAGCGCTCGTCCAGCCTCCACGGTCGTGCAGAACGTATGCAAGCAGTACCTCCGCATAGTGTTTTATGATTGTCTTCTGCGGCATTAACAAGTTTCTTCCAAACCGCTTTAAACCTCATTTTAGTTTTGTAGTAAACTTACTGTACAGCGCGTCCCCGTTAAAAAAAAAAAAGTAGAGTGTCATTTTTTACTGCAAAACTGGACTACTCATCGCCGGGCGCTCAATCTGTGCTACGGTTCGGACCAGATGCAAAATGTTGAAACATAACCACTATACAATTCTAATTTTTTATGTAATTTTTTTTTTAACTTTCAACGAGAAATAGGGCTCATTCCCGGTAACTGACGCCTTTCGCCTCCATGTTTCGACAGCTTCGTCGGACAAAACTTTTACATTGAAAATTTAAAAAAAGAAAGAAGTTTACAATTTCTGTAATGCCGAATCAGAGCACAGCTCTTGAGGAGGAGAAGGGGAGGGTACGGAGGGGAGAGCATGTCCCTCCTCCACCCCCTCCTCTTCTTCTGCTCTTCTTCCATTTAGCGGGAAATGTTCGCTAAATTTCCCGCTAAATTTAGCGGGAAAATTTTTCGCTAAGATTAGCGGGGAAATTTTTCCGCTAGATTTAATGGGAATATTTTCCCGCAAAATGTAGCGGGGAAAATTTTCCGTTAAACTTAGAGGAAAAGTTTTTCAGCAAACATTAGCGAGGAAAATTTGCGAAAGTTTTCCCGCTAAAATTTAGCGGGAAAATTTTCCCATAACGAAACGCGCGGTTAAGCCCGATTGCATTATTCCTATAATGCAACGCACGCGGTTACACCGGCTGCGACGCCGCTCAAGCCGCAAGAGGGCCGCGCCTTAGAGCTGCGCTCTAAAATACATACAACTTTTCAATTACATAACAGCAAGCTCTGAAACTTTGAAATTTGGTCCGTTAACTAGCGTCATATTTGGACGGAGACTGTGCGTTCAGTAGTGCTTATTGCACTTTTACTGCAAATGAAGACACAGTACATTTTCTGGGGGAACACGCACTTTTCTTAATGTCAGCCTCAGCTTGTAATCGAAAGGTAACATGGTGATAAGCACAGGTTCGCAACAATAATGTCTTCATTGGCGCTAAGCTATCGGCGAATGTTTTTATTTATTATTACTTTAGGTACGACGAAACCATGACAGCCTATCTTCGGCGAAGATTAATGAGACAAAATTCAGTTGTCTGTATTCCAGACAGATTATGGCATATTCCAGACAGATTATGGCATAAAACATACCTGTTTGAAATGTACAAGCTCGGTATGTGTTTGAAAGGGTTGAGAGCTAATTTGAGGTATGCCTTTTGTGATTCTCACTTTAAACTTGTTGTCTGGTGTGTGCCGCGGTTGATAGCGTTCTCCCAAAGGAATCATATCTTTATTTCGAGTTCTTTAAAACAATCATTATTTTGCCTTTTTTAAACGTCTTGTACATTCAAAAATGCTGATACTATACTGGCTACATTCATTTCTAAATGCGAATTAGTTGACATTTGACACAGCTAGGTTTATGAATTATCGTTGCAGCACAGCGTGTGGGGTATGCCTAAAATAAGAGTAAAAACGCATGTGAGCAGGTGAACAACCAAAATCGAGAAATAAAACCTTGATAGAATGAAACAAAAAGGGACATTACAAACTTCCTCCAAATTATACACAATCAACAGCAGGGACACTCGTTCACTACACTGAGAAAGTCTCGAGCACACAAAAACTGACAGCTGTGTGCTGTGCTGGTTTTAGACCGTGGTGTGTATGTTCCTTTTTGCTTCCTTGTCTCAATGTTTTATTTCTTAATTATGAGGGTGTGTTTACCTGTCTCACAACACACAACTCTTGACTATCATAACTCGACGACAAAACTGTGGGCAGAGAAATATGATGAAGTAGGCAAAAGCATGCAAACTAGCTAGACAAGTACAATAAAACCAGTGGTGTTTAATATAGGATAGTGAATTACTTGGAGTGTTCAATAATAAAACAAGTGAGACGACTGCTGTACCTGTACGGTACCAGCCGTCCGAATTCACAGCTTCAGCGGTAGCTTCAGGACACCCATAGTAGCCTTTCATGATGCATGGTGTGTGAATTTCGATTTCACCATTTTGATATGGGCCAAGAGACTCTCCGCTGATTAGGTCTGTAACCTGAATCATAAATTTCAAACTCCATTTACTCTCCTTTTTTTAAGAAATTAGAACTGTTTAGTAAAAGATACAGTGAAAAATAACGGTACTGAGGCGATGACAAGGAATAGAGATACACAGGATAACCTCTGTTTTTCTCTTGAACTCGAATTCGAACGAACTCTTACCAACTCGCCCAACTATCCACTCTTAATAAATGGCAGCTGGCACCACCGTTTTCAAATATTGTTAGATATCTGTGGCAATTCGTTGTAATATATTCTCAGATTGTAATGTTTAGTCTTTCTACGACTATTTACACCCTCAAAATTGTCGGATAACACTAAATTAAAACAAGGTCGCGCAATGCATACGGACTTCTTTAAGGCAAGAGGGAACAGGACATGTTAGATAGGCAGCTTTCAGAAAGTAAGTACTGGCGCATTAGCCCCGCGGCGATATTTCTTTTCTATTCATACATGCGCAAGTGTGTTCCTTGGTTCGCTAGTCACACCCTGTTGGTGGTTATTTTTATGTGAATACTGTTCTTCGATTTGATTTGCAATTATTTTATCTAACTAAGCAGAACGACACGTCCATCCCGAACTCCGGTTTTCGGTAAGTTTTTTTTGTTTTTTTTTTATGTAACAAATATTTTACATTGCAGACCACATAAGGTGGAATAGAAAGTTATAATTTTTATTACTGATCAGGCTCTAAGAAAATGCGTTATGCAGAAACGAGAGCGAAAGCTTAAGAAGGGCGACAGAAAACGATACAGCACTCAAACTGCATTGCGAAGCACTAAGGCTATATCGTGTCGAGAAAAAAAATAGTGACGGAAGTAAATAAAAAAAATACTGAGAACTCATGCTTTCCAACTTTCTAATCTTCCTAAATATGACCCTAAAATTTCGATGTCCTTGTATATTAAAACTAAGAAACACTTTATTACCACTATTGGCTTTTACTATAGATGCCAGAGATTTTGGCACAAGTCTTAGGCGGCAGAATCTTATGAGGGTGGAGAAAAATTTTCACCGCAGTAGGTAAAATGCCTTCACATGAAAATGTATTATATTGAAAGCTTTATTAACCTATACAGAAACCATTTAAAATCAAGCGTTTCTAAAACAATCCTGGGTATCTTTTTATGGGCATCTTGCTGGACGCAGATTGAATCCTGACGTAAACCAACATACAATGAAAGAAATTAAACAAAATGGCTACACTCCGTGTGTACCGCCCGGAACGTATATATGCATGTTCCTCTTTTTACGTGTCCTTAAAAACATCTGCAACGACACTAGAGCTTTATCTAGGTGTTTGAAGCATGAAGGTGACTTGCAACTAGACCGCACTGTTACTTGTCTTACAGTTATCATCATATAAAACTACCGATCTTTTTTTTTCTCGATATATATTTTATAGTTCTCTGGGTCACACCCCTTGGAAAAAGAAGTTCTCACAATTACTTTTTTTGTAGATACGTCGCCCGTTAGTATAGCTCGCACTTATACGTATATTTTAAATCGGCGCGTTAAAACTTCACTGATGAGCTCTCATATGTGTATTGATCATGTTATATGCGCAAGTGGGGCCCAGTTTTAATATTCTCACAAATGAATCGAAAAAAGTATAAATTTGAGGCAAAGTTCCAGTCTTCACTTATAGACCCAAATTCACACAAGTCCCACGCATAAAAAAAAAAGCAAACTCGTCAACTCAGTTAAAAAAAAAACGCGACGGATACACCAAAGACAATGGTAATAACATGGCCAATTGAACACCTCTCAAGCATTGAGGATATCTATGCTTACTTTTAGGGAAGCGTAAAAGTGCAACACTCAATACAGACATTTTTGAACTGTACTTTCAAGATAAGTTTTATTGTAATAATATTCTTATTCCCCATTTACGCATACATATTGCGGGAAAATGCTCAAACGTTTGGAAAAATCGGTGTTACAATATTACATTGAACATCTGTAAGAATCTAAAAACATTACGGTACCGACTTTGCAGATTATAACAACAATAAACCTATATTTTTGCTACATCGAAATAAAATGTTTGTTCCTATATTATACTAAATAAAAATGTGAACACTAAGTGGGTCGTTCATTTTTTAAATGTTTCCAAATGAAGAAAATATGTACCAGTTGAGGCATTTCAGACATACCTTGAATTTGCTCCCGGCCAGAGGAACACCACTATGGTCGAAGGTAATTTGACCAACAGGTGAGGAACTTACAATACAAAAAGTTTCGGTCATACCGTAGATATTGATGAGTGATTCCACGTTGAATATTTCACGAATTTCCGTTGCAAACAATTTCGTGAGTACTGATCCACCCGCCATTATTCGTTTTACAGCAGGTATAATATCGTTGTTTTTTCTTGCTTTATGAAAAATATCCCACATCCGGCCAACTACGCCAATAAAAATAGATACCTGTAAAGGGAAAAATCAACATATCATAGAGAGCTTTTTTTCAAGCACAGTAAGGTAAATATTGATATTATTGTTACGCCGAAACATTGGCACTTTGATTGAAGAATGTAAAAATTTTGTATAGCCCAAATGTATGTAAGCATCCTGACAGAGGCTTCATGTCGGGTAACATTTCTAACTTGCTCGTTCAAAATCATGCACTATTTTTTTACACAAAATTGTTGTGAGCAAGAATTTTCATTTCACACTGATAGAAGGCCAACATTGAAAGTCTTAGATTTAGTTTTGTACTTGACCCCTTATATTGTTTAGTTTTTTTAACAATGTCAAAACTCTGAAAGCTGGAGAATCTATAGTGGCAAATCAATGTCGATTTATCAGTATTATAGTAATCATATACACTCCAGGTGAGATTGTTGGCGGTATTTCTAAAATAGTCTTGAGTACGGAATGAAACAAAAGTTTTTTAAACCAGAAGCAAAAAGTTAGCGCATTTAATTAAACAAATAGGAGCTTCAGCAACATCTCTGGCTTCCAATCAAAGTGCTGAAACTGATTGGTTTGTTTACTGACACCACTTACAATTAAGGGACAGAGGAAAAGAACGTTGACACGTTCTTTTCCCCTTTCTTTTTCTTCGACCAAGTTTCCCAGCTTTTACCACATTCTACATCATGATCAACTTCCACCAGCGCGCCTGCGCACTCATTAATTTTTCACTTACAACCAATCGATATCCTCCATCTAAAACGTCGCAGAAAAAATTGCCTTAAATTTGAACCTAAAAGAAATAAAGGTCTCTTTCTTCTTGACTATGCTGTTGCTGTGAAACCAAGCCAGCATGTTTGGAACTTATAGAAGCAAGTTACAGACGCAACGCCAAAAACCACCAAGAGGGGATTTAAAGAAAACAAAGCTATTGCTATTCGTATTGTCTACCCACAAATTGGATACAGCATTGTACTGTATGCTAGCTTGATCTATATATTTTTCGTGAGGCCTATCACGAATACCTTTTGCAGTGTGATGAATACTGAATATATAGCTCATTTAAAAATTTAAAAAAGTTCGTATTTATGAAAACCTTCTTATAAGCGTTCGTTTTTCGCACCAGACAGTGAATGTCGACTGCAGTAATGTTCGTACGTAGAGCGTTCGATTTTATAACAAAGAGAAAAACGCACACATTAACCCCCACCGGGTTTTCTAAATTTAGTGTCATGAAAAATGCCACTGCAATATGCAGCTATAGCTTGGTGTCTTGAGTCAAGAAAGGGAATAGACCAATCTTGTCATAAAAAAAAACATTACAGGAGGATATTTAATACTGCTTACGGTGTAGGAATGCGGAAGCATTCCTAGACGCAGCGCATTCCTACAAGAAGCGCACCACGCTTTATTATCGCATACGGCGTTCCGGCGGTGATATCATGTTCCCCTACTGCACAGGCGCGACGAACCCCACTGGCTCCACGGCTTCCATGACAATGCATCTGCATTGCTGAGCTTTAATCAATAGTTAATGCTTTCGCATTAAAAATATTTTGTTGAGGAATGTAAAATAAAAATCAATCACTATCTGCTACTCTTAAATAAATGTAGAGTACTCGGCTTGGTAAGGATAAACTACTCTGCGATATGATCGGGATTTCTAGTTCCACCTGAATATTCTTACCTTAAAGGTTTTGAGAGTTTTCAGAAAATCTTCGTACGAAATTGCGGGATCGGCGATGACAGTCTTTGCTCCTATAAGCATAGAAAACATGGCTACCGCAAAACCCGACACATGGGTGAAGGGATTCCAGGCCAAGTAAACATCGTCTTCGGTGCAAATTCCAGTAGACCTGGAACCCAAAAGAATAGATATGCATAAATACAGGAAGTTTCAAAGACGAAAGAACGCACCAGATATGCCTTTGTCAATCGAATTTAATGTTTAACTCTTTGCATAAAGTAACATATCACGTGCTCGGCTTTTAATATGAGTGGCTCATAAAGTGCGACATAATGGGAGAACCAAAAATATAAACAAGCGATGCACAAAGATTTGGGCTCCTACTTTAATTTTACCTCCACAGATTTTTAGTGGTGATGTGCTTAAAATAAATTTGACCCGTGGGGGCCCGAAAAGTATTATTTCGTGCGCCATCTTTTAAAATACCGTTCCTGGTTTACATCAAGTTTCAATTTTATAAAGCAGGATCAAACTTGCTTTCTGATGTCTTTTTATTTGGCAGGTAATTGCTTTTACTATCCCAGTAGCCACTTTCACAAAATAAACTTCAGTTCCTTCATGTCGACATCGGTGCTTATTTATTATAAGGTTAGTTTATGCGAAGCTTATTACATGCACTCTTTCCTTTTTTATTAACTTCACAAATTACATACTGAGTGTATTATACATCCGTGCCTTTACACAAAAATAAAAGAAACGTATACTACCGGCCTTACATAACTTTACTCTTTTGTTTTCAAAACGTATATATATTTCACCTTCCATCATCAAGTACCTGTATGCATAGAACGAGGCACAATACGCTTTGTGCGATATTTCCACACCCTTTGGAAGACCCGTTGATCCCGACGTGTACAGAACGACCACAACTTCTTTTTCGGCTTCTGTAGGCACGTGCGGTTTGAAGGACGCATCAGGAAGTTCTTGGAAAAGGAGAACGTCGATGAAGCCGGGCGCACCCCCTACTGCGAACAACCCCTGCGAAGTATAATAAAAAGGTTCTGATAGAATGCTGTGATTGTTGCATGGTGAAACAAACTGGTGGACTCGTATTCCTAAACGCAATCGATATATAATCTCGAGGGCGATAGAGACAGGTTCTTCTCTTCTGAATAAGGAAGGAATTCAACCTTCTTCAAATTAATGTACTGTTTATATGTGTTAACCTACTGAGACTTTTATTACCAAATTCCTTAGTGTCACGTCGAATGCTGCAATTGCAAATAAAGGCTTGATCGGCCCTTTCGCTACAACAAAGTTAGCGAGGTCTATTCACTCTCTCGTAAAAAATAACTTGCATTCAAAGTACAATAATAATAGTAATAATAATTTGTTTATTAAATGTGCCCAAAACAACCACGCGGGTCTTCACATTGGCGCACACAAGACAAAAAGAAGAAACACAGCACACGCACAGCTTAAAATGTACAAATTAGCATGACTACGAATAGGTCGCACACTTCACACAAAATGTAATAAAGTTTCATCTTTTAACTAGACTTGCCAAGTTCCGGCGAAAAGCTAGGGAATCTGCAAAGATGTCCAAGCTAGACGATGCGATTGTATTAAATGAAATTTGCATACCGGACAGTGGCGAGAGTTTAGACATGAATTGGGCATAAAATTTCTGGTAACGTGACAAGGAACATGAAATAAAATTTCTGGTAACGTGACAAGGAACATGAAAATCGACAAAGTTCAAAAGTTGATTAGCATCAGTCCAACCATTTACCACCCTGTGCAAAGAAAAAATCAGATCACGCTCGAATCTTCTATTTGACAAAAACCTAAGTAAAACTCTTAAGAAGAAATTCATAATCATAATAAAAGCGACGCTGAAAGTGTCTTTTATATAAAATGCGTATCATTCTTTTTTGCACTGATTCGATACTTACTGTGTACTTGTTAGAGAATTCCAAACAACAGAGGCAAATTCAAGCCGTGAACGAACTCAAGCACAAAATAAACGAATCATACAAGCACGGCGTCTGACCTTTTCAGTTATACAAGATATGATACCAAGCGTTTTCATCACACGGCCAACAAAAAAGGAAACATGAGCCTTAAATGACAACGCGCTATCAAGGCACACACCGAGATCTTTTATCACAGTAACGCGTTCGATTGGAGCTCCTCCCAAAGAGTCAGTAAAATGCATAACCGTGTGTCGTCTGTTTAAAGAAAGAGCGTTATTTTTGGTAAAATTTAGGAGCAATTTATTCGCTAAAGACCATTGCAGTATGTTGTTCACTTCGTGCTGAAGAGCATTGCAATCAAGAGGAGTAACAACGCGCATAAAAATCTTAATATCATCCGCAAAGAGTAGAAGCTCAGCTTTTTTTACACATAAGGCTATATCATTAACAAATATCAGAAACAAAAGAGGCCCAAGTATAAACCCCTGGGGGACACCTGAAGTTGAGTAAAATAGTTTAGGAGGGGCATTAGAGATTCGAACATGATTCGTACGACATGACAAGTAGCTTTGAAACCAGCGAAGTAATTTCATGACAAGCACTTACAAGTAAAAAACAGCCGTGGTTTCTCAAACGGTTAAAAACACACGCCAAGATTTTTTTTCTTTCTTTTATTTTGGGGGGGGGGGGCGCTAGAAGTGTTTTTATCCCAGTATCTTCCCCTGGCGAGGGAAGTGCAGGCCTTAGTTTTATTGTCTGTAAAATGCTTCACTAATTATATAGATAAGCACTTGCTCACCTTAATGCTTGGTGGTATCTTCCACTTTGCAGCCTGTGGCGCGGTTTCTAGGTCGATTAGTAGAAAAGTGCATTGGCTGTCTTCAATCGTATACACCAACTCCCCTATAAAACAGGACTCATATTAAACTTACTATTCCTAAAAAAATGCTTAAATGTATCTTCGATTCAATTTAAGGCGTTTTGAGCACTCACTTTCCACGTAGGCCGTCTTCGCCATGACGAGCGTCCCGCCCGCAAACATAACACCAAATGCCGCGGCTACATTTTCAACGGTGTTGCCAACACACACACACACCTTGGTCCCCGGTTTAACACCGTGTTGATAATAGCCTACAGCGTATTTACGTATTTTTTTTAACAACCTAGAGGCGGTCAAACTTTGCTGGGTGTCAACCTAAAAAAATAAGGGGAAAGCCTTTCATAGAAAAAAACGCAAAACATGTTGTTAAAGAAGCTTCTACAAATTCCGTTCATATATGTTGAGTAGCACATTGTTACGCTTTGAAATATCAAGAGGAAAACCCGATAAAAAAGTGAAAGCTGCTTACAACTCCCTGTAACGCCGAATTAGAGCGCAGCTCTTGAGGAGGAGGAGGGAAGGGCACTGGGGGGGGGGGGGTTAAACTAACCAGGGGGGGTCACGTGGCCTTGGGGGTCACGTGACCCCCAATGCCGATGATGTCATCACTGAGGTCACTGATGACGTCATCATTGACGATGACGATGCGGGTACCGATGACGTCATTAGTGACGTCACTGATGACTTCACCAGTGATGATGACGATGACGATGCGAATGTCGGTGACGTCATCAGTGACGTCGCTGATGACGTCATCAGTGATGATGACGATGCGGATGTCGGTAACGCCATCAGTGATGATGATGACGATGACGATGCGGATGCCGGTGACGTCATCAGTGATGATGACGATGACGATGCGGATGCCGGTGACGTCATCAGTGACGATGACGATGACGATGTGGATGCCGGTGACGACATCAGTGACGTCACTGATGACGTCATCAGTGATGATGACGCTGACGATGCGGATGTCGGTAACGTCATCAGTGATGATGACGATGACGATGCGGATGCCGGTGACGTCATCAGTGATGATGACGATGACGATGTGGATGCCGGTGACGTCATCAGTGATGATGACGATGACGATGTGGATGCCGGTGACGTCATCAGTGATGATGACGATGACGATGTGGATGCCGGTGACGTCATCAGTGACGATGACGTCATTGGGGGTCACGCGACATCGGCGGGGGTCACGTGACCTCAGGGGAGTCACGTGACTTCGGGGGGTCACGTGACCTCGGGGGGGTCACGTGCCCCCCCCCCCCCCCCCGAGGTCACGTGACCCCGGTGGGGGGCTCGCGCGGTGCATTATGGGACATTTCCCATGATGCACCGGGGTCACGTGACCTCGGGGGGGTCACGTGCCCCCCACGAGGTCACGTGACCCCGGTGGGGGCTCGCGCGGTGCATTATGGGACATTTCCCATAATGCACCGCGCGGTTACGCCGACGCCGACGCCGACGGCGACGGCGACGGCGACGCCGACGGCGACGCCGACGCCGCTCAAGCCGGAAACGGGCCCCTAAGAGCTGCGCTCTAAAATATGAAAGCCGTTTGCAACTCCCTGTAACGCCGAATTAGAGCACAGCTCCTGAGGAGGAGGAGGGAAGGGTACTGAGGGGAAGGTAAACCCCCTCCTCCCTGCTCCTCACGTCCTCATCCTGTCTGCTACTCCCTCCGAGCGGCGTCGCCGTCACCTCACGAGTGTCACGTGACCTCACGGGGATCATGTGACGTCACTGGGGTCACGTGACCTCACGGGGGTCATGTCACCCCTATGGGGTCACGTGACGATGACGTCACTCTTGACGTCATCATCACTAGTGACGTCATCAGTAACGTCATCAGTGGCGATGACGATGACAATGCGAATGCCGATGACGTAATCAATGACGATGCCGATGACGTCATTGGTGACGTCGTCAGTGGCGCTGACGATGACGATACGGATGCCGATGACGTCACTGACGACGTCATCGGTGACGATGCCGATGACGTCATCAGGGACGTCACTGATGACGATGACGTCACTGACCTCACGGGGGTCGCTGATTGCGTCATCAGTGACGATGGCGATGCCGATGCCGATGACGTCCCTGATGACGTCATCAGTGACGTCAGGCATCACTGACTTGTCTAGTACCGCGCGTCCCATAATGCCCCGCGCGGTTACACGGACGGCGCTCAAGCCGGAAACGGGCGCCTAAGAGATGCGCTCTAAAAGGCAATCTTTAATCCGGAAAATGGAAGCCTGAACAAGCAAGCTGTAAATTTGTCATTCAGCTTGAGGCGATATCTTTGTCTTATATACGCGGCGGCGATATTAGGTACAATACTGGATGTTTAAACGGAATGAAGTTTCTTCCTATTATAGCTTCTTATTGTCTTTCCTTAGACGCGTCACGCTACTTCTCTAGTTTAAGATGAAACTCCATAGAGAAAAAGAATCGACGAATTTCGCCCGGCGGCGTTTGCTGTGCGCGTGGCGTCAGAAAAGTGGCTGTTGCGCCGCGCGCAAAGCTACCGCGCCGCCGGGCAAAGTCTGTAGGCTCTTGGCCGCATATTTGCTTCATAGAGTTTAGCCGGGCGTTCAATAAATCAACAAGGTGTTAGGCGCGGACGCCAACGCGACAGAAGGTTAAAAAATAACCGACATGTTATCTCACCACTGTCACGTAGGCACAAGCTAAAAATGGTTGATCTTATCGTTGTGGTGTTGACGCCTACGCAACACGGGAGGTACATGTTGCAATTCTGTTAATAACGGATTGATCGCACACTTTCCAGGTGAAATTTTGGAGATTTTCATCACCATCACACAAATCAGGGGACTCGCATACTCACAATGATCACCTTATGTAATAGTTTCTTCAAGCGTCCTTCTATGAGTTCAGAAGCAGAGCTGTTCCCAACGTCGAAGTCTGGAAGAGGCGATTGTATCACTCCGTTCACAATTCGAGCCGCCATGCTTACCGAGGTTCGGGAGGTTTTCCTAATGATGTAAAGGGGACGAAAAACAATTGCGATAGGTTGAAAAGTACTTTATCTGTGTGATTCAATAAAACGAGAGCAACGAACAGACAGGATGTATTGTTGGCATTCCGCTGTCCAGAAATAACTTTACGCCAAATCTGTAAAGGCCGTTTCACAGATACAGCTCAGCGCTAAGGTAGATCCAGCGACGCATCAGGGCTGGTCTCAGTGCTGACTTATCGCTAAGTTAGCTCTGCATAATTCATTTACGCTGAAAAGGGCAGAGTCACTTACAGCGGAAAGCTAATGCACAGCTGCTATAGAGCAAAGTCAGTGCTGTATCTATAACGCTGATTTAGCGTTATGCTGCAGGTGTGAATAAGCCCTAATATTTAATTCACACAACTACACTTTCGGATTTATATGCCCTCAAAAAATACAATATAATATAAAATTAAACTTAAGCGGTAATGTTTTTTGTGTCTGCTTCTTTATGAATGACAACTCTTTACCGACCTTTTAGAAGAAAAAAAGGAAAGCTCCAAGCGTTGAACTCCTCTGTCGAACGACGCCCCTTCGTAGCCAGGTGGAAACAAAACATTAACTAGAGTACCACTACACCATTCGTGCATACAACAAGTGGAGCACACTCGTATGACGCGCACATATGCGCAGTATCCAGATATTCGAGCTACGCGCATGTCGCACGTTATGTCGTTTGTCAAAAACAGTTGTGGAGAGACTTCTCAAAACAAACAGCGCAACGGCGCTTAAACCCAACATAAACTAGACGTACACAGTGCGCCAGGTGGATTTTCTAAATATATGTTTACAATTTAGACTGTATTTTATTAGTATACTCCGTTTCATTATATGCGGAGTGCAAGACGTCTGCTTCTTGCTAAGGCGTGTCAGTGACGTCAGGACGATGCCGAGCTATGATTAGCTTTGGTTGGAAGGCTAGTGGGTAGACCTCCATGATAGATGTCTTGAGGTCTACCGACTATTTCTTCCAATCAGCCAATAAGAGCCTGGCGTTCTGACATCATCGCACCCCCTGTGTAAGAAGCGGACGAACTTAGGTCTGATAGCAGCCGACGCCACGACCGGAGGGAACCAATCAACAAGCGACAAAAGCGCATCGTCACGGTGTTCATAACCTTTGCGTGTTTGTCATCATCTGCTAAACCAAATACTCGCAGACACAAATGCAAGATCCCCGAGCGTTCACTGTGCGTGAACACCCAAATACCGGAGTTCTCCCGACGGAGTTTGGACCTTGGGAACAGGTGATCACAGCGATTGTTAACACACCAACTTGGGCTAGTTTGTTATTCATCTTGCAACTTCACAGCGCATAAACGTTTCACAAAACAGGCACTCGCTCAATTAGAGACAACAAAAAAAACATACAGCGTTGAACTCCCAACTCTTTACATTTTGTTTTCGTTTTCTTCTACATATTGTTAAAACAAAATCTGTATATTGTTTTGTCCTCGTTTTTGCCTCCGCCTAATAAACCCAATTCCTGAAATACTCTGCGATTATCTTCTTAAGGTGAGGTAAGCTAGTTCTTTCGCAGATGAGGTGAGAGTTGGGCTGCATTATCCATCGCTTCAACGATGGTCAACGTTCTATGCAATTTCAATGGCTGCATGTATCTGTCGGAGCTTACCTACGAGCTTCCAGGTAAGAAATCCATCAGATCCCTGGATTTACGACTACGTTAGGGGCGAAGCTCCTTAGGGTCTAGCCTTGTCCGGCGTCCGTGTTCACATCAAACTCAAACTCAAACTCTTTATTTCTCTCCGTTTGGAGAGGGGAGACAGAGAAAAAAGCAACTCAGTTGTTGCTTGACGAGCCCCCGGCATCGATTGCACTGCCCCCGGGATCGGCCCACTTTAAAAAAAAAAAAAAAAAAAAAAAGACGTACGCCCGCACGGGGGTCCGAACTCAGGACCGCTTGCTTACGAGGCAGACGTCTTAAACACTACGGTACACTCCAACGTTGCATGTAGCCGTTCAACATATATACAGGAGAGGGCGCTGCGGTCAATTGCGTATATAATCGTGTTAAACATTGCATGCATTGGCTCAACGTTTATAGACGAGAGGGCGCTGCGGTCAAATGCTCAACTGCGTATATACCCACGAT